ATATCTTTGAAACAATACCAGATTGACATGTTCAATGACAAACGCTAAATCATTACTTTGTTTCTATTAATTAGGTAATTTTGATTCGATAATTATCACAGTAAGGGTGAGCCTTGCTACATGTTGATGTCTAATCTTTAAAACGTTCTAGAAAGACTTTGAAATGCCGTAAAAATTTGCTGCCAAGCCGCAAGTTGTGGCGCTTGGTGCACTGCTTGCACCATATTGCAGACAACTTTTTAGCCCTGCACCGCCACATAACGTGGACACATGCGGAGCAATTTTGTCGTAATCAAAACGTGCCGCCTACATTTTGAAATATCCAGCTCAGCTTTGTTTCAAGTTAAATGGCAAAGATCCAACACAAAATAAACCAGTGCTAGCCACTGGCTCCTTCACATTCTCCCGGAAATTGGAGAGCGAGAAAACGGATCGAGATTCCGATGATTTAGTGACAGCTGAACAGGCTCCCGTTTCACGTCTCTGACAGTTCGGTATATATGCTCATCTCATGACGAACTCGAATATGCAAAGAGGGTCTCTTGAGAAGTGAAATGACGGCGCGGTGAGAAGATATTTGTTGTTGGATAAGGCATCATACATAGATGGGATTCCGGCAATATGGGAGCGTTCATTTGTTGATCGATAGCCAAACAACAGCGAGTGTTCTTGCTACTTTGGAAGCAAGATTCCGAGCAATAAACACTTTTTTACATATGCCTGACTTCGCGATTAAAGAAACTAAGTCTTAACGATTCTATAATACTTCTTCTAGAACATAAAAGTCAGTTCATGGCCATCCTCATTGTTAGCATAGAAATCAAGTCACCTCGTCCCGGGCGAAAATATTCACTGTCATACTGACATTTGTGTTTTCACATTAATAAACCCTTGGATTTCTAGTGCACCTGTAGGTGACAGAAGTTTAAATCTCGAATTCTATTTTTTGGTAACTTTGACCCTACGTCATATGTCTAACACGCTTAGTAATTTCACACGTTTTTTTTTTCTTTGAAAAGAAAATCTTTATTGGAAAGTCAATTTTTTTAGTGAACAAACTTATATAATATGTTTAGAACACTGGCCTCGAGAATAACAATAAACATTACTTCTAAATAAATGTATATTCTTTACGCTATTCGGTGGATTATTACATATTTTTACTGCGTTAGTGACAGTGTTATTCAATCCTATATGGTTAATTAAAATTGTTTAAATCATTTTACATTGTTCTAATTAAAATAGCTAATCTAGTCTCTTAACTTGTGCTTTATGAAATATGAAATTCACTTTTTATTCAATGTCTGCCAAAAAAAGCATTCTAAACGATTAATTTTTGCAATCAAGTAGTTTCGCGGTACAAAGCAGCTATCACCGATGTTGTTTTATTCAAGAGGTTTTTAATGTGACTAGGCTAATTCAAACTCTCATATATGATTAAACCCAATAATTTGATACCTTTGTACTTTGACGTCGTTTATTCTTATGCTGGCCATGGGATTGGTCCGCCTCTACCGATCCATCGTTTCGGAAACAGTTTCCAATCGCATGGCCAGCACGCAGTCCCGATCTCACACCTATGGACTTTTTTGGGTGGGGTCGCATGAAAACTTTAGTATACTCTGATCAAAATCCTGTACCCACAATAGAAGACCTCAGAAACAGGATAATACATGCAGCAAAAGAAATTCAAGCCTCTCTTAGGAATTCGGCGGTAGTAAAATCAGCTGTCATAAGAAGAGCGCGTGTGTGCATTAGAAATAGCGGGCGCCATATTAAAAATGTATTATAAAGACAAAAAAATGTAGTTTCAAACAAACTATCCTGTATTAAGGTATGATTTTGTAAGTGTAGTATTTTTATTGCGTTTTCCTTTCTTCTCTTATAATAGTCATATTTTTACCAATTCTTAATCGATTTGTGATTGTTATACCTCATTTGAAAGGTGCTAAAACGTAGATGTTTTCTAATTATTTCGTACGAAAAATTTGTATGCGACTTTTTCTAGTAAACTGAAGCTTTTGAGATGAACGAAGATTTTTTTAACAAAAATCAACTATTTTGAAGCTTACTGCATGAGATAACGTCAATAATGTACATCTGAGTATAAATATTAGTATTTTAGAATATTTTTATTGTAAAACCAAAAAAAAATCTAATGAAACACCCAATTTTCAAGTTTTATGACTTGGTTAACGTATAAAGGACGTTAATTTTATGAAATGTTAAAAATTAGTATAAATAGAAAACGGCTAATTTTCGGACAGTAGTTCCTATAGTAAAATCGACTCAGATTGGCTTGTACTATATTCCCCCACCGGCTCCGCATCTATTTTCCCGTCACCCTGTATAATTTACAAAATCAACTGCAACTGTAAGCGTTCTACTATCTTTTATGAACCCATACTGCTATCTGCCAGCTTATGCAATTGAAATAATCCAAGATTCTGTAGTTATTCTGTAAATACAAAGTGAAATGACACTATGCAGATCGTAAGCCTTGCTTTTTTATTGAATATATAAGCTATCTTATAAGATGAAGTTACTTGTCATTATTGTAGTATTATCTACTATACTATAACTATCTAAAACTGTAATGACTCATCGATGGTCACGTGAACATCACTTAACTACCAGTAGTCGGCTGTTCATAGGCGGGGTATGAATGTTTAACATGGGTGAACTAGATTTGTCACATGCTTAATAAAGAGTGGTTTGAAACATATTGTAAGTCAAAAATTTGGGAATTAGATTTATTCATCGTCGCTTCCACTTACATCTGACAGTAATAAACTGTCGCTATCGCTTTCCTCGTTGAAATTGACTATAACTGGCTCTATGATGGTGTCGATGTGGTGGTCAAGCTGCCACATTTTTGTTTCTTCCTTCACAACATGACGGATAGCATTCTGCCAAGCTTCGGGCGTTGCTAGCTGTATGGAAGTCTCAAGTAAAACCTTAACGTCTGGTAATTTGAAGGTTGTGTTATGGCGCGCAATATAACCCTTCACTTGAGCCCAGATGAGCTCTATTGGCTTCAGTTCACAGTGGTAGGGCGGTAACCGCAGCACAGTGACACCACATTGACGGGCCATCTCATCAGTCACGTAACTAATGTTCGCAGGTTTGTGCTGTTTAATTTTTTCATACAATTCCGCTTTCACACATGAATCGTCAAACGGGATTCCTTTTTCGCGCAACCATTGCTGCATGTCACTTTTTCGAGATCCCATAGTCGGTACACGTTCGGCTCGACGACTATGGTAGGAAGCATTATCCATGACGATCACAGAGTTGGGCTCAACTCGCTGAAGCACCCCTTGAAACGAGCTCTCGAAGCAGCTGGCATTCATTTCGTCATGGTAATCACCTCCTTTCTTAGAGACGAAAATCAAGTCACACTCTTCTAAAAAGCCACTATCGTTACCAATATGAGTTACGATCAATCTTTGACCTTTCCCTGACAGTCCACGAAGACCTGTTGACAAATCTTCAATGCTTGCTTGTCGGTTACTCACTACGTTTTTGTCTATTCAGGTTTTTTTGACTGTGTGACCTGCATTTACCCATGTCTCGTCCAAATAATAGATTTTTCTGCTTTGTCGCCTATATTCAATCATTTCGCGTAGGTACTTTCGATGCCAGGCGACTATTTCAGGTCTCTCTATCAATACTGACTTCCGATTACGCGTTTCGTAAATTAATTTCGTGCAGGGATTTCCTCATTACCTCGATGCTCATTTGGGGTATAATTTCATTTTCCTTGATCGCTGCATGTACAGCCTTGAGGGTTGGTATCTCATTCCTAAAGAAGAATGAATGTACGGTTCGCCTTAACGCCATTTTGCTATCGTCATCCAATTTAACGGCCTGTCGTCCCTTCAAATTAAACTTTGGATCAGTAGTAGCTCCAGTTTTCTTCTTTTCATGCACCACCCTGCGAATGGTCCACTCTGGAACGCCTGTCATACTTTCATAACGCGCGAGTGCATCTCCCTGCGACATAGTTCTGTTCAGATAATTGAACACGTTGAGCACGATTTCTTTAGCGTCCCTCTTCAGTGCTTTACGAAGCCGTCTACTTGTTCCCTGGCTTTCAGTACTTCCACTCGTGCCATTTGTACTTTCCATGGTTTAGTATAACCAAAACAGTAACCACAGAAACCACAACAATAACAATCACACAACAATTCTTATAAAAACACACAATATGCGATCGCTCAACGAAACACGTTCCAATGCGTTGCCGACGCCTATGAGTCTGCCGGTCGAGGCGCGTCTTTGATTTCATTGGTTCTACCGGCGGAGAACAATCAGCCATTATTTCCATCTCTTTCTGTGCTGTTGACCACCGCAAAGCCACAGAAACGACATAATATGTCGTACGCTATACGGCTGTACTGGAAGGAAGCCGGGATCGAGCTCTGATCACGTGTTGATCACGCGTATGAGTCATTACAGTTTTAAATAGTTGTAGTATATCTATCTTTGTTATTGTATGTTAAATCTTCTCAATTATAAACAAACCTTCACAATAACAAAACTTCCTCAAATGGTTTGGGATCTTGTTGATGGATGTTTGATGATCATTTGGAAAGATTGGCAACATTCAAATTCTCTTTTTTCATATTATTTTCTAGGGTCAAAAAGCACCTTTTTTCTTCAGAATGCCCCTAAAAATCCTAAAAATATTTTGCGCGGAGCGAAAACAACAATTTTTGGACTTTGTCTAGAAAAAATGTTTAAAAAATGATTGGCCTAACTTTTGACCTGGTAACATGCAGATTCGTGGAACAAATAAACTTGTATAAGATATCAGAATCAGAATATCAGGCTATAGACGAAACGCGTTGTACGTCAACGCCATGAAGCCTTACGTATAATAGAGAATACACAGCAAGAACATACAGATGTTTATTTTCAATTCTACCCACGCCTCAGAGCGCCCGAAGGGCTTACAATGGGCTTATACAAAATTGATAATCCCATATATCCTCCAGGCGGCAGACACGTCGTTAGCGGTAACGCGAGATAGCTTTCCGAAGTTGCATCGCCCGGAAAATTTCCAGCTTCAACTTCAGAAACAAAAGATAAACACGGTACGAAGGTGAGAGGCAAAAGCTGCTACGAGTATATAATCGATCTAGAGCATCTTTCCATCCGCCCGAGAGCGACTCACAGGTGGGGTCACCGACCTTTGACCTACTTATGAAAGCTTACATAAGGACTGTGTCGGTTCACGATAAGTGGACGTGAAAAGAACGTAATTGTGAACAAGTCAGTCACATGTAATTTTTGCCTCACGTCGTCTTCATATACAGTGTGTCCCAGATTCGCTGCTCTATACAAGGATCTCGTCTCCCGTTATACCTAGAGTTATATGATACTTTAAATTTATTATATATATATATATATATATATATATATATATAATTCATGATGCGGTTACGCAATAACGCCTATTCTAAGTATAAGAAAACTGTTAAGAACCATTTTTCTGACGAGATAAAAACTGCCAAATGGAACTACTATAAGCAATTAAGGAATCTAGTCACAGCATCTATTAGGCGCGAAAAAAAAGCATATATTGAATACCAGCTAAGAAAAAGCAACAGTTCTCGGAGCTGGTGGAAAGCTATAAAGGAGCTAGGGATTCATGGTTCTAAGGGTAAAAATAATCAGTGTACCTTGGAACCCAACATATTAAATAACTGTTTTGTGGATTCAGTTCCCGATAACTCAATAAATGAAACACTCTTAGAGTACTACAACACCAACATGCTACCAAATATCAATGACCTATTTCAGTTTAAGTTTGTTACCGAGGAAAAAGTCTTGAAGACCTTTCAAAAAATAAACTCGCGTGCTACCGGACTAGATGGATTAAATATAGATACATTTTCCAATATTCTTCCTTTTTGCCTCAAGGCTCTTACTCATATTATAAACTTTTCTTTGGAACATGGTATCGTACCACTCATATGGAAAGCCGCAACTGTTATTCCCGTTGGTAAAACCGATAATCCCCAATTGCCTTGCGATTTCAGGCCTATAAGCATACTTTCACTCTTGTCAAAAATTCTAGAAAAGATCGTTTACGAGCAAATGCTAACACACATCAATAAATACAGCCTAATTCCAAATACACAGTCGGGATTTAGAAAAAATCATAGTACTGTGACTGCATTAGTTGACATTTGTGATGACTACTTGAGAGCTATAGATAATGCCTGCGTAACTACAACTGTTCTGCTGGATTTAAGAAAGGCATTTGACTGTTTAAACCACAAAATGTTATTGGCTAAGCTGCACTTTCTTGGTTTTTCTGAGAATTCGATTACATGGTTTGACAATTACCTATCAGATCGACTTCAACAAGTTAAAATAGGCAGTGACTATTCTGACAATCGGGTCATTGTAAAGGGGGTGCCGCAAGGTTCCATTTTAGGACCAATCTTATTTACTTTATACGTGTCGGACTTGGATCGGTCGGTCAAACATTGCGCCTTACATTCTTATGCTGATGATACCCAGCTTTATCTATCCTATGATCCCTCCTCATGTGTTGATGCTAATGAAAAACTAGCAGTAGATTTAAGCGGCGTTTGTGATTGGTTTAGATACCACGGGTTACACATAAACTGTAGCAAATCGGCCATAATTACCTTCCGCTCTAAGAAGAACGAGTTCAGTGGAGATGCTATAAAGCTATGCCTCAATAGTGAACAGCTCACACACAAAATATCGGTATTAAACTTAGGAATAATCTTTGATGAGCACTTAACTTTTCATGATCATATTTCTAAGGTTGTACAGAGCTCTTTTGCTAAACTAAAAAGCATCTACAGCTTTAAGCACGTGTTGTCTCAAGATACCGAAAAAGGGAGCGAGTGTCTCCATTTATTCAAGAAGTGAATTGGTTGACGATGAGGCAGAGGTGGTTGGTTCACATTTTATGTTTGGTTCATAGCATTTTATTGACCAAATACCCTATATACTTAAATAATAAGTTATCCTTGAGAAGTCAGCATCATGCAGCCAACCTCCGTTTCGTTGGTTACACCCTTAACACGCCCCATCATAGAACCACCCTATTTACTAAGAGTTTCTCTTTTGTTGCACCCAATCGCTATAATATGCTCCCTGTCAGTTTTAAAGTTTTATCTGTGCCACTTTTTAGGTCAAAAGTAAAAAAAATTGTTTTTGAAAATATGTCATAATACCTTATATTATTTAGTTTTTAACTTATGTAATGGTGTGACTGTTACCTGTGAATATATATGATTTTTTCTTTAAATTAAAAAAATGCCTATTTTTGGCATAATAGATTTTTCATTATTGTTACTCAACAATGTTTATGTATCCCAGATTTTGTATTATAATTTTGTTTTTTCCCTGGTTGGTATGAAAAACAGCTTTTAGCTGACACCCGCCAGGTTAAATAAAGGCTATTATTATTATTATTATTAGGTATTATTAAATTTGTGGGCCCGTCGTCCGAGATTTTTGTCTCATGAGAAATTTATCCTGGCTGTGGTTCCACAGAACATGACGATTCGAAGTTATGCTATTTGCAAGGTTTGCTCTTACATGAGATTGTGTGTCTCTTAACTCACCTGTTTCCATAGTACCTCCATGAGAGAAATAGAGAAAAGTACATCATAATATTATTGATCATTACACTGATCAACAGCGAAAAAATATCCTAAATAAAATCAACAAAATATTACTATTTTTAATGTGCTAAAACCGGAATGAAACTTATTTTTTCAATATTAGTCCAAGTTTTAGAGATACGGTAATTATATGTGTTCCTGCTGTGACAGTGTTAATATACTGTAATTCACAAGAATGCACGTGCTACATTTTTATATTCGGCAAGGAAAGATGATGTAATCGGCATGATTGTGTTACGTTATACATACGTGTACATTATATTGTTTTATATTAGCCATTTTTGGCTGACAGCGTTCATGCAAGTTGTCTCGAAAGTGTGTAAACAATCCAGATCAGTTTTGTTACGTGTGTGGCAGATCAGCTTTATTTCGGTTGTAAACTAGGCGATCAAGACAAACAGTGGGCACCCCACATCTGCTGTAATACATGTGCTTCAAGTCTGAGGAGCTGGTTAAATGACAAAACACGGTCTATGCGCTTTGCTGTCCCAATGGTTTGGAGAGAGCCTACAAATCACATTAATGATTGTTACTTTTGCATGGTACCTTGTGTTGGACAAGCCATAGGTATGTCCAAGAAAAAAAATCGGTTATTAACTACCCAAACATACCATCTGCGAAGAGACTTGTGCCTCACAGTGACGAAAATCCTATTCCAAAACCCCCAGAATCCTACACTTGCGAATCAGAAAACGAATCAGATCATGGCGATCAAGTGATTCGTCAGGAAGAAGATATGCCATCAACGTCAAGAGATCCTGATTTTATACCGAGCACATCATGCCACCAACCGCACTAAATAACACAGTCAGAATTAAATGATCTTGTAAGAGATTTAGAACTTCCAAAATGTAAGGCAGAGTTACTTGGATCACGACTGCAGCAGTGGAACTTGTTAGAAGACGATGTTTCGGTATGTGTTTTTCGTAAACGCCACAAAGACTTAGAACCATTTTTCAATATGGAGAATAACTTGGTTTTCTGCAGTAACATTAACGGCTTACTGGCGGCTTTAAATATAAACTATAACCCAGAAGAATGGAGATTGTTTATAGACAGTTCAACATTGAGTTTAAAGGCAGTGTTATTGCTTATTGGAAATATTTTACCATCTCTTCCTGTAGGGTTTGCAGTTCACATGAAAGAATCATATGACAATATGAAGTACCTATTGACATGCATAAAATACGATGAGCACCAATGGTATATTTGTGGCGATTTGAAAGTTGTTGCACTTTTACTTGGGCTGCAGCTAGGCTACACAAAGTTTTGCTGTTTTTTGTGTGAATGGGACAGTCGGGCAAAGGCACTTCATTACACCAGACAAAATTGGCCTGTTCGTCAATTCCTAGAGCCAGGTCAAAAAAATGTACAGCATATGCCATTAGTAGATTCGAAAAAAATTTTATTACCACCACTGCATATCAAGTTGGGCCTAATGAAAAACTTTGTCAAGGCATTAGATAGAGATGGGTCAGCTTTTCAATACCTGCGTCAGAAATTTCCAACACTAAGTGAGGCAAAGGTTAAAGAAGGTATTTTTGTTGGGCCACAGATTCGAAATATTTTGAAAGATACACAGTTTGAAAACACTTTAACAGTTATTGAAAAAACTGCTTGGAATGATTTCCGTCTGGTGGTCACTAATTTCTTGGGAAATAGAAAAATTGACAACTATAAAACTCTTGTCAAAAATATGCTGTCATCGTATCAAAAGATGGGCTGTAATATGTCTCTTAACCCGCCTGTAGTCGCGCCCTGGTTTTGTACTCTGTTGGTCGCGCTGGGCTTATCAGACCCACGCAAACTTTCAGTTTTCTTCGGTACAAAAAAGTCGTTTGCCTAGAATAACGCATGAAACAGTATATTATTTGACATATTTCAACTCATACTTTCAAAAATGGAACATCGACGAAATAAAATGCGTTTATTGATACCTCTTAATAGATTTACATCAAAATGTCAAAATAAAAGCAAAGAAAAAAGAAAACAGTGAAATAAAACATTGAACGCAAAGATAAGAAACATTGACTTAATGAATAATGACAAGTTAATTGCTGTAATTTTCAGAACCTATTTTCTCCCCATAAGAGTCACTGCGAGAAATCTGTATTCAATCTCGCCAAGTCTGAAATCGGAAACATGGAACAACACACTCGGCTTTGCGGCTGCGCTGACACTAACAACAGATATATAATCTTCATCACAATATAGGAAGGTAGTGGGAAGGATACATCGGGCAATGTTGTCACATATAGGCAGTGGTAGGTTTTGGAAGCATATGGGTCAGCCAGACCCGGCGCGACCAAAGGCGGGTTAAGATACATTTCCTACACTCACACCTGGACTTTTTTCCTGACAATTGCGGAGCCGTAAGTGATGAGCACGATGAGTCTCGTACTGTAAACAAAAGGTTTCAAAAATGTTGTGTGAAAAATTGGATTGAGAAAAGAGAAAATAACAATATAGTGGAAACATCATTGGACAAATCAGAACGGGAAGATCAGCAAAGTTATGACAACTTTCTTGGAATGTCCGCTACTGATTTTCGGTAATTGCTGGACGAAAACATTTTTTTAGACATTTGAGTCTTGGTAATAAGAATAATCCATGTCTAATCCATCATGAAAATAGGGACTGTTTCCTATTTCGTAAAAATTATAGTAATTCTGGAACCAATGACTATCTGATAGTATCAAAACCTACTTAGGAAATTTTGTTTCTTTGAAACAACTGGTATTTGTTAATAGCATACACGTACAATCCCCTCATAGTTTCTCCATTCAATATTTGCAGTGGTTGAGACTGATTGATGGTACTCTCATTATCATACTTCTATCACCTATATCTCTGCTTCCGTTCATTGTCTCACCTATACCGAGCTGACCATTCCCTATAATCATGAAGTGGCATCCATGCATATTTCTTTAGACCGACTAAGCAGCAGTATTACCATGACCGACCTCCTGCCCTTGGAAGCATGTATAGAATCGTATTGATGTATCGCAATGGCATACTCAATCTTAACCCATAACGACATCTCATGCAGTATTGTTACCCAGGAATATCTCACCCTTGACGGGCTCGTAATGGACAGGATCGATATTTTCGTAGCTGTGTCGCCTCTTCAAACTCAATTTTAATCGATTTTTTGTCGAAACCTATACATGTTCATGCATGTCTGAGGAAAAATAAATTTATTATTATTATTATAAGAGCGTCTCATGATGGTGCTTCTTAAGGGGATGGTATTGCCAATTTAGTTAACTATTATTTAAGGCCCTCTTGAGGATCTCACACATTCAGTTTCTTTTGTTTCACGCTAGTACTTCTAAGGGATATGAGGTTAATTCTGATGATAAGGTCGCTACTTTTTCTGAAAAAATAACTTTCGCGTGAGCTGGTAATGATGAACGTGTTTCCAATGTATCCATCTCAATAACCGTATATCAAATCACATGTAGTCGTGACTCGTTTTTTATAGAGCGACACATTTTTCAATTATTCTCTCCGTAAAGTGTTTGTATTATTCCCAAACATTATTTTTCTAGTAGTGGGTCAGAAACCTTGAATGGCTAGCCAGGCAACGTTATACGATTATTTTGTTCGAGGGCCGTTTCGTCAGTAGGACGTCTCTAAGGCCTCCTCGATTTTCACAGTTTTCTACTGTTCAAGCTCAGCGCTCTATTTGGGGGTTAAGTTACAAACATTTATTTGCATCAAATTATCCATGCTTTTGACTTATGTCGGCCTGAAATTTCTTTCAATTGAAAACGAAAACATAGCCGCACAATAGGAGAGCGCTGACGCTTTCACACGCAAGCTGATGATCGGCGACCAGTGTTGCAGTGTTTCCCTGATTTGGTTTGTTTATTGGAGTGTTGGTATTTGCCGAAAGTGTATAAAATGAGTGATAGGAAAAGCGATAACATTTATATTGATACCGAACGATTAATAGCTGCAATACAAGAAGAAAAGTGCATTTGAGATTTCTCTTGCGAGGATTATAAACACGGTGATACGAAATATGGTGCTTGCATATCATATCCATATCACAAGCAACAATGCACCCTACCTTAACTGAACTTACTAATATCTGCTTAAATAATGACCAGTAATATATTATACAGGGTGTCCGCAAAGTTGGGGTTTTCCTTTTCAGAAACAACTACCCTTGAAATAACAAAGTAATGTGTAGTGAAACGAGGGCGACCAAGTAAAAAAAATAACGGAAAAAGTACTCACTATCCAGTTGACGAGAAGGGCTAAGTACGTCTCTGCCCGAAATCATACCGCTCCAACAGAAAATGAAATCAGCTAATGCGCTACCAAGCAGACGCAGAAACCACATTGATTGTCTTACACTTAATGGCACATCTTCTAACAAGGAAGGCAAAATGTTGCGTAAAAAGTCTAGGTATTGCATCGCGTCCAATCGATTTGGAGAATAAATGGTCCAATGAGCATACCGTTCACCATGCCAGCCCAAAAAGTTTGGATTATTGTCATGTTGATGCAACAACCACTCACAAAACCGCACTCTTGCTGGAAAATCGTCAGGTTGAAGGGCTTGTACACGTTGGACATGAAACGGATACAGCACCTCTTCACGCAGCGTTTGCCACACTTTAGTTTTTGATACTTGCACTTCTCTAGAGACGTCTCTAGTGCTTGTTGAGGGATTCTCGTCTACGCGATTACCTCTACACGCGTGACCGTAACCGTCAGTTGAAGGTTGCATACTGACGTGACACACTGACCCCAATCCAGTCCTGTCGTCGGGTTGAGCCAGTGACCTTGTACCAGTCGGTGATGTCGCGGCTACAGGACGGTATTCAGATATTTTTGATGTTGCAGAGCCCTTTATCCCGGTTCCCTTAAGACATTGGTGTATATGGTACTAAGAAAAATTGCTTATGTCTTCAAGATCTACACGTCGTGTAAAGGAAAACCCCAACTTTGCGGACACCCTGTATATATATAGCTATGAACATTTTTATTATTCTTTCTATTTCTTGTTGATAGAGTACCTAATTCAGTTTCTTGAAATAAATATTAAGATTTGTGCACTACTGACAAGTTTGTTCGTTACCTTAATTGGACATACATTCGCTCCACCGACGAAATAGAAACTCGTATTTGTCAGCAAATGTAAGGTTACTTTCTAATTTGGAATGCAGTTCGTCAAAGGATTTTATTGATATTCGAAAATATTTATAAAATTTTCTTTCAACTTCACTGAGGCTGGCGTATAATGTTACGAATGCACCTGCTACGTTTCGCTCTAGCCATATCTTTGCTTATAATTAAAAGGAGACGAGAAAACAAAAAGAAACGTTTATGGATACATCCGATTATAAGTGCAAGGTATTTAAAAGGTGCCATTATTACTTTGTACTCCAGTTTGGGAGAAGATGAGAGAAAATTTTTTAATCGCTTTCGGATGTCAATAAGATCATTTGACGAATTACATGACAGGTTAGAAGATGGTTTAAAATTTTCAAATTAAGTTCGAGTGTTAATTTCGTCAGTGCAAAGATTATGTGTATGTATAAGGTAAGTAAAAAAACATTTTATCAAAAATCATTTATTAACTAACATATTTTCATAAAGAACAAAGATTGCTTAATGAAACTAATTCAGATTTCTTGAAAGATATATAATAAAGTTGGACGGTGGTTTGTATCACTACAACTGGGTGAAGGTAAAAAGATAGCCATAGAATCTGGAGAATGCAGTGACGCCTGATCTGATGAGTGATAACTATTCGATGTTGATGGTCTTGATGACCAATTGTTGGAATTGTCTACATTAAATTGCTGTATCTGTGAAGAAACATTTTGGGTTGATACAGATTGTGCTTGATGAGCTACGACAGAATGTTGTTCAATATTTTTGATTTCCATTATTATACGAAGCACTTCAGCTCTAAACTGAAGTATTTGTGCTTTATTAAAAGTTTTTAGGGTTGGCAAAAGAGATGTTAAAAATGTTTTGTAGCTTCATCGAGAAATGCTATTAGTGTATTATCTAAAGTGTCAATTTTCTTGCGTTTTGTTCTGGTAAAATTCTGCCTTAACTGTGACTCCTTGACCGAACCTTCAACATCTACATCTGCATCAGATTCCGATAAATCGATAACCTCGTTATTTTGGTTTTCTTGACCTGCTTCATCAGCATCGAAACCTGTGTCTGTTCTAAAAAATAAAACTTTCTCTCATTATGTCTATATCAAATTATTTTTTTTTCTAAAAACACACGTATCCAAGTTGAGAAAACGTTCAAAATAAAAACCAATGTCAGTTCATGAAAAACTAATTTGAAAATTTTAGCAAGTAAATTTTGTATTCAAATCCAACCCTAAATAGAGAAGAAACGTACTTGTTTAGGTCAACCGTTTTCTCTAAAAATGTTAGGTTCTCGAAATAGATATACTTTTTTATATGCTTAGCAGAATCACCACTATTTATTTTTCGTAGTTTGGCTCTATCTCGTACATAGGCATCCCTAGCAGTTTTCCATCTCTTTTGTATTAGTAACACTGTAAAGGAAAACATGAAACTATAATTTTTTATTGCTTTTCAGATACTTGGCAAGCGGCAACACCTTTACTGACATCCACTACACCTACAGATTCGGTATTTCAACTATTAGTGGTATTGTAGAGTTAGTATGCGACGAAATTTGGAGAATAATAAAAAGAATTGTATGCCGGAACTATCCCGACAAAAGTGGCAAGACATTGCATTTGATTTTGAAAAGTATGCAAACTTCCCAAACTGTATTGGCTCTGTGGATGGGAAGCATATACGTATAATTAAGCCCATTAAAAGTGGTTCTCTTTGTTTGAATTATAAACACTTTTTTTCTTTCGTGCTTTTAGCCATATGCGATGCCAACTATTGCTTCACATATATAGATATAGGTGCATTTGGTAAATTTTCGGATTCTACTGTATTCACTAATAGTACATTTTGGAACAAGCTTGAAAATAATTTGCTAAATATTCCCGAGGTTAAGCCGATTTCAGGGTATAACGAAACGCAACCTTTCCCATATGTCATTGTTGGTGATTAGGTATTTCGTCTCACTCCCCATTTACTGCGCCCATATGCTAGAAAAAATGTAAACCGCCATAAAAAAATATTCAATTATCGCCTTTCCAGAGCTAGACGATATATAGAATGTTCATTCGGTATTTTATCCAATAAGTGGCGAATATTTCACAGACCTCTAAATGTATCGTTTCGCCTTGCTAAAAAAATTGTTAAAGCCTGTTGTGTTTTGCATAATTTTGTATGCATTCGCGACGGATATGCATTCCATCATACCCTGTATATTAACAGGCTTCTCTGATATGAATCCAGGATTATTAAGACATGATAGGAGAGGTTATTCTGTAAGAGATGCTTTTGCAAACTATTTTGTAAGCCTTGCTGGGCAAATTCCTTGGCAAGAGTCAAAGATCCATTAAAATAAATAAAACTGTTTTAATTATAAAAACCATAAATTCCTACCTGTTTCATGTTTTTCTTTTTCACTTAACCGATCACATTCGTGTACAACAACAGCGGCTACGTGAAAAAGTGCTGCATTTTTAATATCTCTATCCTTATATTCGTCGCAGGCAATGTCACATATGCAATTCTTGGATTCAATCGCACTAATTCAGAGTTCAGTGTCGAATTTTAAATGATTCATTGTTAAATTTAATTACAAGTAACCTCAAAAAACGTGCATTTGTCCTTTGTGAAATCGCTCATTAAAACTATTGCTCGTGCGCGCGCTGATGCTACGTTAACGCATGGGCTCGGCGTATGGCCGACGTACGAGATCATACGTACTGATCATACGCGCTTCATGTGAAATGCTCATACTAAACCAATGGTACTTGATCGTCTGTCCTGATGATCTGCTCTGACCGTACGTTCTATCTGAAACAGCACTTAGTTTGAAACAAGGATTGCATGAATGAAGAAAGATGTCATCCAATAACCCACTAAACGTTCCCCCTACATTAGCGATTCCTGTTGATAAATGTTTATAGTCACCTGAACCTATAACTACACCTATTGGAATTTCAAATAATTTTAATGACCTAGCTACATTAAAGGAAAACACGTCCCGGTAAATACCTAAACGCGTTGCAAGTCCTCAATTTTTGTGCAACCTTCACCCGCAACGCTGAAGCTGATTTAACTTCATTAGCTTAAACTCATTAGCGGCCTAGCGAGTTTGCTCACTTTATATACATTAATTCACATAGAAGTTGGTGAGCATTCACACCCTATTCGTTTTTGCCAGGCTGAAATGAAAATTATATTTTGTATTATGTTATCATTTTTCTTGTGGTTGGTATAAAGTAATTACGTCATGTCTGTGACAGATTATACAAAGGGCGTTTAGGTAAAGAAAGACCAGTATCTCTGATATTGAGGCCAGTATAATAATAATATATAATATAAAGGGTGTAAACATTATTTAAATGGGTGATAGAGGGGGTTGAAAGAAGCAAAAAGTTTCATATAACATGGAGTTGAAAACGGCATTTTTTTAGAGAAAAGCGACTTAAAAGTAAAATAAAATAATATGGAGTTTGTTATTTTTGGCTCTTAGGTAGTATTTCATTATTTGATAATGTACTCGTAAAATGCAAACAATTAAAAAAATGGACTTACCACTATAACTGACTCAGCGCTTCACCTGGTGAGTGAAAGTTTATTGAACGTATTAAAAAAATCCACTTATAAATAGGGAACATAATTTTTATACATACATTGTTTTTCTTTTTAAAACCAACACTGCACTTTTTTGCATTTAAATAAGATGTTAAAAATGTCGTCCTCCACTTTCCACATAACCTTCATTACGACGAACCCAGTTTCTTCTTACTCTAGGTCCTCGAAGTTGTCCATTTATTATTTCAGCCGCATTAAAATTTTTTTCGCGAAGTTGTGCTTCAGTTGTTATTGGACCAGCCCCATAAACCATCCCTTTAAGTTCTCCCCAATACCAGAAATCCATCGGATTGATGTCAGGAGATCTTGCTGGCCATTTTCGAGGATCAGGAGCATTTCGACCTATCCAGCGATTTGGATAATGTTCACTCAAATACTGAATGACGCCTCTAAAAATGTGTGGTGGTGCCCCGTCATGAAGAAATGTAATGGCATGTTGTCTAAGGTTTGTTCCAAAAGTTCTGGTAGGTTATTGGCTAGAAAGCTAAGGTATCCTTATCCTGACAACTTTGGGGGTAACTCGAAAGGGCCAGTTACCTGATCGTCAAGAATACCCGCCCAAATATCTATTTTAAAACGTTGTTGGAAATGACCTTCACGAATGGTATGAGGATTTTCTTGGGCCCACGTGTGAGTATTATTTATTATTATTATTTCAATAACGTTTATAGAGCAAAATTTTAGTAGCAATATTTCTCTTCAGCTAGGGATACATTTACTTTAAAAGTGGAAAATTTCACGTAAAGAGTATAGAACCAGGTACCTTATTTAAAAGACGTGTAAAAAAAGTCAACAGTCAACAATTTATACTCAACTGGTGTAATCTCAAGCTCAAGCGTTTTTGTATGAATTGTTTTGTTCACGTCATCAGTACTGCATGTACAACATTTTCGATCAACGTCTTTCTTCTTTACAAAGATATAAGTTCTTTCCGTTTCAAAATTACAATTAGAGCTCCGTCTATCCCAGTATGGGACCATTCCAAGACTCATGCTCATATGAACGTTTCGTCTTGTTAGCTTGATTCACTTTATGCCCTACAAATATTGCTACGATTTGCTGAATCACCCTGTATATCCAGACTGCCGAATCTTGGAGCCATCCGCATTGCTAGTTTGCCCAAAATCTGTGACGAAATCGCATAACATTGTCCATTTCACAATTCTCTTTAAAGCATATAAACAATCCTATCCCCTATTCTTACAGCTTGGTGGTTATGTTTACTCCAATTTTTTTAAGAGCACATTACCCTCATATCTGAGTACGAGTAGTATAAAATTACACGATTAGCATAATGTTGTTCAACTCGGTTTGACTTATAACCGTAAATCACTGCTATCTTGAATTGAATATTGTTATCATAGGGAGAAGAGGCAATGTGAAACAGAGAAATATATCCAGGCTTTTACCGTATCCTATTTCCTCACTTTATCCCAGGATTATCCCCACAATTTTCTGGCGCTTAAGTCTCTTACGCGAAGCTGATAATCGGAGCTGGCACATAGGTATTCCTTAAATAACGACGTTTATTAAAGTGAGTAGGAGCAATGGCCTGGAGTTTCTTTTACCCAGAAGCTGTAATTTCATTAAAAAAAAAGAAACACTGACATTGGGGTTACGTGTTTGAGAAGATATTTGATTTGGAGCAACAGAATTATCAGTAAATATCAATTGGAAAAACACCAAAAACAGCTGTTTGACGGTGTCTCATTTCTGATCTATACTACCATACAAATAACTAGATGCTTAATTAAACCAAACAAAATTCCCTAAAATTTGTGTTTTTATCACATTTTTGCTTAATAATTTCTGTGTATGGTACCGGCAAAGTTTACTCCAACGTTAATATACGAGAAATCCAAAAACGTTAAAGGACTTCAAATCTACTGCCTCCATATATTTCGACGTACTTGTTCTGAATCTCTATTTTTTCGTATTCTTACAGATAGCGCAGTAATTGTGGATTACATTTCAATGGCTCTAGATAAACAACAAATAGCTGCAGATGTTTTCATTGACTTAGAAAAAGCTTTTGACGTAGTAAGCATAGACATTCTTTTGGATAAATTGTTTAAAATGGGATTTAGAGTTGTTTCGTACAGCTTGATTGAGTCTTATTTATATGACAGGAAACACTACATAAAGCTTTTAGACATTGATAGTGAATGGCTATCTAGCACCTACGGAGTACCACAGGGGTCAGTTCTTGGACCTCCGTTATACAGTCTTTATGTACTGAATCTCAAGCTGGCGAATCTAAGCGGAAGATATTCTACCTTTGCAGATACACTCTACTGGTATATACTGGAACAGACGAAATTGGCTTAAATGACTGTTTTCAAATAGATTAAAAATTAACATTAAAAAAACAAAATACATTATATTTAATCAAAATAATAAGATAGTTAACAATAATCTAAATATTAACATAAATAATATACCGCAATAAAAAGTGCCAAGAATTAAATATTTGGGATTACTAATACAAGGAAACTTAAATTGGTCACTACACTTAAATGGAATTTCTGATAAAATAGTTTCAATGCTATCTGCCTTATATAAGAGTAGAGATTATTTGTCCTACAAAAGCAAATTTCAAATTTATAGTGCCTTCTTCCTCACAAATTTTAGGTACCTCTTGCCAGTATGGGGTATGTGCGGTGAAGTTAATTTTAACAAAGCTCAAGTTTTGCAAAATAAAATTATGAAAATATTATTTAATTTTGGTTGGCTTACAATACTCTTCATTCAAATTTAAATTTAAACAGATTAGGAGTGTTATTGGAGGTGGGACAATGTAAACTTGTTTATAAAATTATAAATAATTTACAAAAAAGTAACATAAATATTAGGCTCTACCATGACGTGCATGATTACCAAACAAGATCACTAAATAATGTAATGTAGGATTAAAAAATCCAATCACAGACGCAATTGAAAAATTTAATAATTTACCTCATTGTATAAAAGATTCAAATAACTATAGAAGTTTTGTTAGAGGATTGAAAAAAATGTTAATGAATTCATTTGTTGAAATTATGAGCAACATTGCAGTGTACCTATTGTCCATAGATATTGATTATTGTTTTGTTATTCTCGGGGCCAGTGTTTGCAAGCACTGATTGGGGAATTATTGTTAAAACTGATTATACATTTTGTATTATTGTGTTGAAATAAATTATTTCAAAAAATATTCATAAAATGGTGGCTGAAGTCGTGTTGGATTAAGACTTGCTGCGCACATATGCCAAACCAATCCAACTGACGGAAAGAGATTAGTAGATAAGCTGTAGTACATCTTCTGGTTCAATTTGCTATGGAGCCATTTTTTAAAAACAACGAGGCAGAATCACACACACACACACACACTTCTTTGGCTATGATGCTTTTTCAATTTAGTGGCGCAAAAGGCAAAAATACGATACAAATAAGTAAATATCCGCAAAGAACATATCAAACTATATGAAAACAGCGATATTTAAAACGACTCCATTACGTTTCAGACCGAAGCTACCAAATTCTTGGACACAGAATTGTCGTGTGCGTATACTAGAACCATGTACCAAAAAATGCCAAACACGCACATTTAAACGAGCCCAAAATTTTGAATATTTCAGTTGTTACAAATATTCTAGAGCGTATGTATTCAAAAATTTCATAACCGTTTCATAATGCTTGATTGTTTTCATCGCAATGCTGCCATTTTTGTGCACCCATTGTCGGAAAAAAATTTGTAGACGTTAAAAATTGGAAGAAGTGATTTGCAGAAAAAAGTAAATCTCAATTTATTGACGTTGGTATACCTATATGCCTCCAACCCCAGTAATTCTAAGCACATACTCATCATAGCTACATAATCATAGATCTGCTCTTAAAAGTAGAAATATCTCCTAGAGTCTCCCGATGGACGAGCGTCATCGTCTGTGGTCGTTCGTCACAGTCGGCAAAAGCTTCCACACTGTTGCGGCCTGAGTGCACTGTACATGATGAAGGCAAATATCGTCATTCACGCGGGATTGGTCATCGCAACGATCACGTGCACCTGTAGCAATTCCTTTTTCCAGCGTAGCGTATGAGGTACACAGTCTACTTACTTGACGTCATTCTTTAATATTCCACTCAGTATGACCCCATGTTCGCAACACCTTCTGCTCCAAGTAAAATATTCATTTATTTTTTAAAGAATTTCCAAAGCTACCCTGTTATAACTACCATATGTTTGGAGTAACAGATTGTCTACTAATATAGGTTTGCATATGTCGAACTCGGAGTAGAATTTGCTGTGGATAAATTATATCCAAAAAAGTCGGAACGAGGCACGACTGGGGTATCGGAAACTAGATGTTATTATCGCTTGTGGCGAGTTAATACTGTAAGAGGTCGTTGAACCCCTACGAGTATTTTTTGCTTATCATCCATTTGTAGCATGTGACATGAGAACTTTTTTGAACATAAAAGACTGCGTACTCATTTGATATTTTTATCGCAGGAAAGGTCTTCGAGATACCGAAGAAAGAAGTCGTCCCTGTCACCAATGTGTGTCTGTCCTAGAATTCTGGTAGTCACAAAACAAATGCGAGACGGTGGAAAGGGGAGAAGAGGTCCTAAATTCTCGCTATAATTTAGGTCTACGGCTTTTAGTCGAATTAGTATTCAGATGTACAAAATGTGCTACCCACTTCCATTTCGCTTCTATAGCTGTGTCTTGTTCTGGATAGCCTGGATATTACTCATAATGTCAGTGGATATAGCACTCCCATTTAAATGTTTATGACTGGAGCTTATTGCAGGTGTAATAATATAGTAACGTGATTTATACTAAGTGACATATAAATCCGAACACCCAGTTTAAATGGTTTTATTTTAATAAAATTTTATATAAGTACTTAATGAAGCATAATAAGTAAATGATAAAAATTTCAAAATGATTGCACTGCTTTAAAGCCCTTTCACCTTTAATAATGTGTGGATGCACCCTGATGTGCTACGCATTTTCCAACGCGCATAGGCATGCTTCTGATCAGGTGGTCAATGTCCTCCTGTGGTATCTCATTCCAGGCAACCACCAACTCCTCTCGAAGTGCTTCTAGAATCTGAGGAGGACGTTGCAAATTGAGCAATCTCCTACCCATCATATCCCACACGTGCTCAATTGGGGATAAGTCGGGAGATCTTGGTGGCCATGGTAACAATGTGAAATAATTATGTTGAAAGAAGTCTATTGTGACTCTTGCAACATGTGGTCGGGCATTATCTTTTTGGAAAGTTGGATCTGCCAGGGTGTCAAGATAGGGTAAAAGATGGGGTTCTAGAACTTCGTGGATATAACGCTGCGCGTTCATGTTACCTCTGATGAAGATTAAAGGTGACCTGGAACCATAAGCTATAGCACCCCAAACCATAACTTCAACAGTGTGATGAACATGTCTTTCAACAAAAAACTGTGGATTCCTCCTTTCACCACGTCGCCTTCTAACCATGGCACGACCATCATGCATGCATAAACAAAATCGAGACTCGTCACTAAAGACAATACTGATCCATTACTGATCCCAGAGTGACCGTTGTCTGCACCACTCAAGGCGATTACGTCGGTGTTCTCGAGTTAAAGGGAGGACCCAGTGTGGCCGGTATGAAAACAAGCCAAAACTTCTCATTCTTCGGTAAACACTTCGCATGCCAATAGGTCTTCCGTGTTCTGCAAACCATTCATTTGCAATGGACCTGGTAGTGGAGAAACGGTCCCTTAAGGCCAATAATTTTAGGCGGCGATCTTCACGGTCTGTTGTTCTACGGAGGCGTCCAGTACCCCTTGCTCGTTGCGTACGGCCTTCTCGAAGCCATGCCTGACAACACCTTACCACAGTGTCTACACTTCTTTGCACTCTAACTGCAATTGCCCGAAAAGAAAGTCCAGCTTCCCGAAGTCACACTATAAGGCCCCTATCAAACTCACTAAGTTGACGAAATCGTACAGGTCTCCGTACTCTAGGCACCGTAACCGATCGTAAAGGATGTCAAGAACCAAAATCCGCCAACGTTGAATCTTTACCGCGGCTGAAATATTCATTTTTAGAGCGTTAGTGAATTAAAAAAAAAGCAGTACAAAAACCGGAATGTCCAACTGATAAGGCTGAAAATTTTTTCACTTGTTATTTATAGTACGATAAATACATTCACCAACTTTTATTAAAATAAAACCATTTACACTGGGTGTTCGGATTTATATGTCACTTAGTATATTTTAACGTATTTTCACTTCTTCGACATAAAGCTAGGAAACTACTGTGGTGATGAAGTTCTTCATATTTTGCTTTGCAATGTTAAAAAAGTTTCGATTCTCAGTAACTAACCAGTAAGTCCTAAAATGTAGAAAACTGGCTTATAACCCACACTTTTTCATTGTGCATTTCAGGGCAAGGTAAAATGGGTATCCAGAAATCAAACATGATCTTCAGCATATGCTAGAAGTAAAACTGCGAGTTTTAAGATTACTAATTCGACCTTATACCTAGCCAGTATTTTGTGAAGATAATCACATCATCTCGAAGAGATTGGAGCGATAAATTTGCCAATAAATGTTCAGTACAAAACACTCAACTTGTATTAGACCTCTTAACAGGGTCCTCTAGATGAGGGCTCGGGAAGTTTCAAGTGTAATTTCTTAAAGCTTGAGTGTCTACGGAATATTTCATTACCTGTAATAAAATTAATGAATATTCACCTTTCGTCTGCAGAAGCTGAGAATTTTGATTAAAACTGTCCTTTATTTGCGCGATGATTTAGAAATAAATTGTATACAGTACAGTTTCCTTGGTCTTTTCATTGAGGAATAATCTAAAACTCATGATGAAAAAAGTTTGAAAAGCACCGATTGCATTTCAGCATGAGTTCATCGGATTGATTGCTAAAAAATTCTCTTTAATTGTCAAATAGTCCCTACGTAATTAATTTGTTGATTTTGAATTGCACTCAACTTTGTAAGCTTTTGAAAGTTATGCGAATTTCCCGATATGATCGGAAAGCAGATTACACTAGCATTTTATTTGTGAAAATCTCTCTATCCACTACTCGATCACACTATCAATAACGTCGTAAGGAGTCCGTTCCTGATCGCTTTGCCGCATGCAACCAGTGAATCGTGCTCGGATACAATCAAGCAAAAGTAGTGAAATACGCCGTATTAAAATCCAGTGTGTAAGTTATCTACCTGCCAATATTGAAGCAATCATAGACTGTAAGTACCAGCCTTCAATTCTACAATACAACACAACAATCTGCAAATTCCTAGGCCATCGGAATTCCATCCATTGGTTGCGTCTGTATAA